GCAGGAATGTTGGGGGCCAACCCTAACCCGAACCCTAAACCGTCAACCGTTTCTACTTAGAGGTCCAGGGAACCTAGTAAGTAGGTTAGTAGGTCGACTGCGACGACACTTGGAGACATGTCCCAATTGCATCGTGTCTTGGGGCGCCTTCCAGCCGGAGACATCCGCCCTAACCAGTGAGGCGACTCACCCCGAGGCCCCTCCGACCGACGCTCCAGGTACACTGGACCTTGCAGCTGTGCATGGCATCCGCACTGATGTTAGCCTGGGGTTGCTCACTGATCTGGATTCTTGTGATCCCATGGATGAGCAGAGCATCTGCGACATAGTGTCCTCGTATGTTGAGCCTGTCGAAGTCTTGCGCGCAACTGTTCGAGCTTGGGCTAGCTCGTCTCAGTCGCATGACTTTCGGCAAGATACGGCTGATAACATCCTCCTCCTCTTGGACGTCGAGCTTTTAGCTGACCATGTCCAACCAACTAACCAGGCTAAGGTCTTTCCCCAAGATGCTGTACCGTCTTGGCGAGACCCTGGTCAAGCACCTTTTGTGCTTAGTGGCGAGACAAGTACCTTTCAGTTGGAGTCACCTCCCGCTGTCATACTCGCTCACTCAGATCCTGTCAGTATGCGACTTCGGGATGCCGTCGCATACTCCACTTGGCTGGAGTCCGGATGTGATGTCTTGGCCCGCGCCCTGGCCGCCAGCAAGGATTGCCCTGTCTGTGTACACTGCCGGAACATTGACAGTGCTCTTGGTCCAGCTGTTCGCTGGCTGAAGGCTGCAGGGTTTGAGGTCGACCACCATGGACTTCGGTCACCTAGGGACTAGCCCACCCTTGTTTCACCTCTTTTTCGTTTGTGAGTGAATTCAATTGCTAGGCGAGCACCCGACCAGGGTTCAACCGCTGCGAATGAAAAAAAGTAGGTTATAAGCAGAGTCACAAGTACCCTAAATGGAGTTACCCCAAGTATATCCCTACTTATAACCGACGTACTAAGTCTTCTGGGCCTCCACGTAACACCGAAACCGACCCCTCGAAAGCAAAGCGACGTTGGCGGTCAGGCCGGTCTGGTCCTCTTGCAGCGGATTTGTTGGTTGGGGTTTAGGGGTTAGGGTTTTGGGGTTATAAGAGTTTTGGTGCGGCAGCAACCACAGCAGCGGCAGCAGCAGCAGGAGAAGGAAGCAGCTGCAGCTGCAGTAGTGCCAAGACTTGCAACAAAAACCAATAGGACGAATCATGTCTCGATTTACTCCTAAACCCCAGCCCGAAAATCTTAAACTCTAAATCCCTAACCCGAACCCCGAACCCCGAAACCCCCAGGAAGCCTTGAAACACAGCCAACCCCCTGACCTCCAACCCTGAGCCCCGAAACCTCCGAACCCCGAAGTTTTAGAGGCGTCCTTTGAAGGTTCCTTCAGGGGTACCTTACTGTAGGGTTCCTTTATGGGTTTAGGGCTTAAGGGCTTAAGGGTTCCTTTAGAGAGGTTTCGGGTTTTGTGGGTTTAGGGT